CCCCCCGGCGTTCGGTTGACGAACTGGGTTGGATGTGTCCGTGGGCCAACGCCCTAGCTGGTGACTATGATGGACAACCTTAACAGCTCGCAGCCGACCTCGATGGTGGCCGACCTGAAGGGTGGCATGAAAAGAGGCGAGCTCGCGGACCTGAAAGTGTGCAGGCGAGCTGATAGCCATAACCACACTAGTGTGGGTTTGTTATAGCAACGAGCTGAAGTGGCTCACAACAGATGAGCTCGCCCAGTGAATAGTCATGTACACAAGGTGCTATTCGCTATTTTAGCAAGCTCGTCCGCGTTAAAGTAAGCGCGAGAGAACGTGTGATGACCTGACCCATGACTATTATCGAAGGTACTGAAGCGATCGGATGATGTTGTCAGTCAACCATAATGACAAGCTAAGACAATGCGACCTCATCCACAGCACGATCTGAGATTTTTGATTATTATACTTTATCAGCTCGCACGTGTAGTGGTGTTAAATGAGGCAACCTCAAATATCCAATGATCTGTGAAAAAGTCTGTGATCTGTCATGAGCTACAACCCTTGTAACGACTTGATAAATGTGGTCGTCATGACAATCTAAAATGGACGGGAAAGGGGACATGCCAACCTATGACGAGCTGAATCTTGGGGGATTTTGGCAAACGCTCTATAATTGTGAACGAATTGTCACGTTTGTCACGACTTGGTAAATATGACTTTGGACAAGTAGTCACATTCGTGACGACCTAGTAAATGTGGTCATAATGACGAGCTGATATGGATGGGACAGGGGACACATCAGCCTGTTACGACCTGAATCTTGGGATTTTTTGAATCAAGCAAATCTCTGAGGAGATACGATTGAACTCCCCATATCTCTCTGCCTTCCCCGCCATAAATGCTGGCTCAGCATTTGAGGGACGTGATAGCTAAAGCCGGTGCACACTATGCAAAAGAGGCGTTAAGCGCATGCCACGTGCAGGACGCTAATTGGTGCGTCAGAGACACGCGTACGGCCATTAACACTGCCATATTCCTCTTTGCATAACCGTTTCCTTTTCCATTTTCATTTCCTTGTTTGCTTGAAATCTTCTGAAACTCTCTGTGGCGAAACACTCCGGCTTGAAGAACAAAGCATCGAACCACACACTACAACTTCGCATCATTTTCAGGTAAAATGGTTTCCTTGAGAGAACTTACAGAGCTACGAGGTAACCAGGGCAAAGAGGAAGGAGAGGAAGGGGTTATATCTGTAGAGCCTATCACGATGATAGTGCCGCCGGCGTTGCAGGATGTACCGGAAATAATGACGCCTGAGGGCAGTGCCAGTTCCAACGCTAAGGACAACGGTGGCGACCACCCTACTGCATCGTCGAGCAGCTCGTCCTCTGAGGAGACACCCAGCCGCGAGGAGGGGAGGGGGGATGTGGTGAGCCATGTCTCAGATCGGCTTGTAATTGGAGAGTGGGAAAGCAGGACAATCACGGGCAGGTTGAGCAATCTGCGAAAGGCGCCCAAGGACCTGCCCGCTGGATTTAGGTTCAGGGCCGCGCTTCATCATGAAGTAGCAAACTGTGCGCCCTCAATAAGTGGGTTTAGGAAACTGGAGGAGATGGTGAGGGCGCACCACATCCCCAAAACGATCTTGCTCCGGACTGGCGCCAAGAGTGAGAGGGTGTGCACGGTATCGCAGACGGGCTGGATACCCGTGTACGTGGATCATTTTGAGGCCGGCCTGTGATTCCCCCTGCCCGGATTGGTGTTCGACTTATTGGCGGACTACGAGCTCGCTCTAACGCAGCTGACGCCCAACAGCATAAGGTTCATCATAAGCTTTATGCTGTTGTGTGCGAGGTTGGAGGTGCCGGCGAAGGCTATAGTGTTCAGATCGCTGTTCCAGTGCCGGCTGTGTCCCAACTCTAGAGGCGCAAAGTGGTACTACCTCTCCGGGAGACAGAAGAGCCAGCTGTTCAAGAACGTCAGGAACAAAGTGGCGAGGTGGAAAAGGCAGTTTATCTTTGTTCGCGATACGCGAACAGAGAGAATAAACAACGACCTCGCTGCTCGGCTATCGGAGTGGCGTGTGCTGAATGCACACGTCAACTACCCTCAATTGCTGCCACGGGACACGGATCTCAAGAATCAGCTGCTGGAACATGCGAGGAGGGAGAATTTGATAAATCTAGACGCCCTGGTTACCTCGGAGCAGCTTGTTGTGTTCGGGTTTGTCGATGTGGCAAACCTGTTCACCGAAGGTATACCTTTATCATATACCCTAAATTCTAGCCGGGCTGAGTCTTATATATTTGTTTGTGCAGAAGAGATGAGCAGCATACTTGAACGCCAGCGTCAGCGAGCCCAAAGCTCACGAGGTCGCGGAACGGGCAGCACCTCGCAAAGGCAGACGCGGTTTGACGAGCAACCGCCTCCAGCGCCTCAATCTCGAAGTTCGTCACACCGAGGATCCAGCTCAGCGTCTAGGCCCCGGGCTGAACATAGAGCTAAGGCTGTAGCTCCAAGTGCGCGCAGGCGTGCGCGTGAGGAGACGGAGAGTGAAGATGAGGTCCCCCTCATACGACGTAGCATGAGCGGGGGGACTCAGCCCGCGCAGGCGGCTCGTTCTGCGGTCGCGCGCTCACCCAACGCGCCCTCAACAACTGCGCGGGCAACAGCAGAGCCCGCTTCTGTGTCGACCTCAGTGTCGGCACCCAGGATCGCGTATCCTGATGGCTTCAGCTACGTGAAGCCGGAGTGCTAGCCCGCCATGGTGCAAGGCATGCAAAGCTTTGTGCCTCCCACGGATCGGCAGCGGGCAAGAGCTTTCGTGCAGCAGCATGGCGGGCAGGTCGCCATGGTCAAGTTGATGGACGTAAGTATTTGCTCGCACTTGCTTGAGTGTTTTACTTTTCCTTTTTAGAGACTAACAGTTATTGCTATTTGGCAGGCGTTCAGCTACGCGGTAGTGCTGTTCGAGAGCGAGCAGGGGGCTCGCTCTCAGAATAACGAGCTCAGTGCCAATTGCAAGCAGTTGGCCGCAGAGAAAGCCAGCCTTGCAGATGATGTCAACCGTCTGCAAGGCTCAGAGATGGCCAACCGAGCTGCTACAGCGGAGAGCCGCGCGGACGAGCTCACCAACAGAAACAACGAGCTCAGAGAGGAGCTGGAGCGAGCCCACGCGGAAAAAGAGAGCGGGATCCAGGCGGCGAGGGAGGAGGCCGCCCCGGTTAAAAACGGGCGAAGAAGGCTGAGGCCGACAGGGACCGCGCTCAGCACGAGCTAAGCTCCCTTAGGCACCAGGTCGCCGAGGCCGAAAAAAACCTCAATGCTGTTGAGGAGGCCTTGAATGAGCTGAAGAGTTCTCACGGGCGCTTTGTGAGCATCGCTCGAGCTCAAGGGGCAGAATGGTTCGTGCGCTCGGCTGTGTTCCAGGACGCCGTGGCGGTGGCGTCTGCAAACATGACCACGGAGATCTACAACGAAATCCGTGGGAAGGTGCTGCAACATCGCCCGGACTTCCCGATTGGCGAGCTGGCGTTCTTCGACGGGGAGGATCTGGACGAGCAGGGGAAGAGTCTTGCTCCCCTTGCCAACACGACGATGCAGTTGAGGTGGGACCTCAACGAGGAGGGTGTACCTGTCTGGCCGCCCTCAGTTCTAGAGGAGGGGGAGGATCCAGCGGGGCTGCCCTCCTTTGATGCATAGGTAGAAGGGGCTCCTTTAGTTGAGCAGGAGCCATCAACCACTCCGCCCAACTCTCAGCCCGTCGTGGTGCCGGCGAGGTCGCCCGTCATTGCACCAGTGCCGGAGCCCGCTGCTCGCTCGCCTCCAGCTCGCTCCTCTCCGCCAACGGCTGGGGCGTCCATGCCCGTCGATTTGACGGATGACTAGACTTAGGATTTTTTTTGTTTTGTTCTTTTGTATTTTGTTTCTGCATTTTTGTATTTGATCAATGGATCATATCATATGTACCTCCAATGTAAACATCTTTGATGAAATACAAATATGCACTTTCCTTTGAACTTTTGTTGTATTTTCTGGATATCGTTGTTTACAATTGTTGGATAACAACTTGAATAAAATAACAGTACACATGTTAACTATAAAACTTTCTAAGATTCTGTATGTTCCAGATATAAGGTAACTGTCGTCCTTGTATATCTGCTAACACGTAAAATCCAGGTCGTTTAACTTGAATAACCATATAGGGGCCTTCCCAATTAGGAGCGAGCTTGCCCATGTGTGAATAAGTATTGGTTAATCCAGCTTTGCGTAGAACAAGATCGCCAACCTGAAACTGACGAGCTCGAAGTCGCTTATTATAAAATTTTGCAACACGACTTTGATGTGCTATGTTTCTTATTCGAGACGTCTCCCTGACCTCTTCCACAAGGTCTAGGTTCTCTCTTAAGAGTTGCCCATTATTATGATCGTCATGACGATCTGATCTATCAGATGGCAATCCGACCTCGACAGGGATGACAGCCTCAGCTCCATACGCCAGGCTGAACGAGGTTTCGCCTGTGGTCGAGCTGGGTGTAGTGCGACATGACCAAAGCACTTTATTGAGCTCGTCAACCCAATTAGTATGTGCAGCCATAACACGTGTCTTAAGGCCTCGCAAGACAATTTTATTGGCGGACTCGGCTTGCCCATTGAATTGTGGAATATACACAGATGTCAAGGCGAGCTCAATTCCATAATCATTGCAGAACGACCTCAGTGCTGCGGGTCGGAACTGCGGACAACTATAATAAAATCCACTGGTAATAGAGAAATTCGGTGTTTTTCTATAAACGTGAAATATTCATCTTTTTTTTTATTGTATTTTTAATAATAAATTTTAAATTTAAATTTATTTAAATACCAATAATATCAATAGAGGGATGCACATCTT